TCAATAATGAAAGTGTGGATGCGAATAATTACAAGTCTTTTTATCAATTTTACGAAATGTGAAGTTAGCGCGGTAGCCCCAATGCTGTCCGAAACATATTCCTTACACGAAGTTTTAAGTAAAGGTAACACCTTCGAACTCTTCCACTACGATGGGAGCCACGTCATTCCTAATGAGTAAATAATTACATCTAATAAGTAATCTTGGCATTCATTATTTAACGCTTACAGCATAGCCGTCGTGACTTCGTTCGGGCCCGGAGCGGCAGATGGAAGGCTTGCTAATACTTTTCTTAGTTCAGCCCCAGTAATTTCAGAGAATTCCTCAGCACCTATTGCATTCATTGAAGGAGGTGATATTTGGAAAGAAAAACGATGAGCGAATCCTCGGAAAGTCAATTCTAACGAGTCTTTAATTTGCTGCGCACACAAAACGAAGAAATCTGTAAATACAGGCTATGAAATCAATTTCTTTTTACGCATGATTCTATATAGTTCTCTCCTATGTTTGATCTCGAGAGACAATCGAACTTTCGAATATCGTCCTGTTATTTTGCTTTTGAAGCTGTCGTTCAAAAGTACCCGCGTAGAACTGATAGTCTTTCCAGTTTCGAGGGCACTGATTATACAGCAACTTCTCCCAGGCTGCCTTACGATGTCTGTAGTCCCTCGAACACTCATCTGTCCACAAAGGAGCATTAGAGGTATGCTTCACAGACTGATTCCCAAATTTACCTTTCTCGTGGGACTTCTTCAACACAGAACAGATGCTCAAAGCTTTCTACTTTGATTTTGTATCTGATTGATTGATATGTGGGGTTTAACGTCCCAAAACCACTATATGATTATGAGAGACGCCGTAGTGGAGGGCTCCGGAAATTTCGACCACCTGGGGTTCTTTAACGTGTACCCAAATCTGAGCACACGGGCCTACAACATTTCCGCCTCCATCGGAAATGCAGCCGCCGCAGCCGGGATTCGAACCCAATCTTGTATCTGCTATATGAGAGAATGAGGCAAGCAGTGATTTTAAATTAATAGTAATTTATAAACCTCTGTATATTAGAAGTTACTGGGGCAATCGAACTCATTATTTCACACGTTTCTGCCAAGTGGTCGCTACTCGTAGCGCAAGCAACTGTTGACCAAGCTGAAACATTAAGGATGCAGCTTGCATAAGTCAAATTTAAAGCTGAATTAATGTGACCTGTAACGTACGTGGGGCTGTCTGAATTTAAGCATGTCAAATAATTATCTTGTGCCATATTCTACAAGCAGCTGCAACATGCATAAGTTTTGAACCTCCAAGTAACAAAATTGGCACTGAAGTCTCCTGCCAATACAAGACTTCTACCACACGGGCCGATTATGGCGTCGAATGCCCGGATTTTATGTACACCTGACGAGAATTAAGCAATGGCTACAGAGAAGTCTTGAAGAGTTGTAAGTGTTATATTCAAAATTATTATTTCGCATTCTTGAGACAGTAGTTTCAGTGTGAGCTTCGCTTTATGGCAGATTCTCTTTGATATCATTGTAAATATGCCTCCACCTTTTGAAATGCAGTCCAATCTAAAGACCCAGTGATTTTTCGGTAAAAAAAAACTATCTCAATGGAACCTAGATTCTTGTAATAAAATAAATCAGGATTTACCTGAACACTAAGATTAGGTGAATCAGTAATAGCAGATAATATAAAGTGACAGTTCCACTGTAAGACTTTCAGGGACGATATTTTGGTGAGAGGATTGTTGCAGAGACAACAATGTCCAAAATGATTTCCTTGGGGACTTTACTAAGTGGAGCCTGTTTTGCCTTGGACTTGGGGTAAAGGGGACTAGCGTGGTTCAACGGTGACCGGCTGCGTTTTTGAGCACGGGCATCAATATCGACATCTGTGGCCACCTGCAAGTTTTGCACACGTTTCTGGGCAGGGGCCGAATCACACATTTAGAAGTATCGGACGGTAGCACCCGTAATCACCAAATCGTTAACAACTGAATCATCGACAGTTGCATGCAGCAGTTGGGGAGACTCGGAATAACTTGTTGATGAGGGCATTCGAAAATCAGCTAATAGATTGTTGACAACTTGAGCAATGCATTATATGATGCTATCCGCTAGATACTCTATTTTCGCCACAGCATTTTTCTACTGCTGCCTCAACTGCCTGCGCAATAGACGTCTCCGAGAACGTTTGGCGGGCAGGAAGATCAGCATAACCATGAGCCCTCTCCTTAAGAGTTACAATGGCTTTCCTCATACAACATTGCCGCTTGTCTGCAATTTCTAACACCGAAATTTTTGCTGTCTAATTGGGCAATCTTCATTATCAGCAGAATGATTTCATGGCACAGTAATTCACACAGTAGCGTACTAATGCAACTCAAGCTGAGAGGAAGTTTTGTTTCTGTTGTTCCTCAAGTATATTGATGATGACATTAACGCAGCTAAAACGACATATAATAAAGCTATTGGAGTGCACTCTCCACTCAAGACAAAGAGCAGTTTTATTCATCTTTTTTGCTCGATCAAATTGACAATGATAAAAATTAGCATGAATAAATAAAACCAGATACAAACTGAAAAGGAGAAAAAGGATGACTAACAGGAAAAATACAAAAGAGAAGAAAGTCAAAAACGGCTGCCCAACACTGTACTTTCTTTAAACTTGGCACCGCTGTAAAGCAAGCTATTATAACTTTTTTAAAACTTCGTCTACATAATTCAAAATTTAAGCAACATCAACTCTGTCGTTCACAAAGATAAGCGGACATATAAACAATTGAGGAAACGTCAGACAAGCGTATGAACGTGGTTTTGTCCTGCTACCTTGAAGGGAGGTTTTTACGATGCTATCGCGGGACAGGCTGGACACGCTTCTTGAACTTGGGAAGTAAAAACAGCGCAAAATTATAGACAAGGACAGAGGACGACACCACACCTGTTTCCTATTCTATATTTTTGCGCTGTTTTTACTTCCCAAGTATGAACCACCAACTAGCCCAAATCTCGCTATTATTGCAATTTTGTTCTTTAACACGTAGAAATAATCTGCCTCAGACTAGTAAGAGGAAACTGTGCGAGAAGAAGTGTCTTTTTTTTCAATGTTTTCCTTTTGTACCGAGTATATTCTATACAATGCATCTTGCTGCTGTATACGGAACTTGCAACCTACAATCACAAGGATCTTATGCGTCATTTTTATGCACTGTTCATTGCATGTTCGGGATATACAGGGCTGATGGGGAGCTCTGATTACATGAATTGTACAGATTACACCACTACGAAGTGAAATATTTTTCATACGTTCTTACACCGAAACATTCACTGCAGCAGTAACCGGGTCAAGCTAAGCTGCGGGGCCAATTATTACAGAAATTATATCACAATAAAGCTTAAAATTTAAGAGAAGCAAAAACACTGCTAGCTTACAGAGGCATGTTACTTTACGAGTTTACCTTGTAAAAAATATCATCATCATCAGCAGCAGCAGCAGCAGCGGGAGGAGCACTACGCCCTCTGCAGGGAAAATGCCTCCCCCATATTCCACCAATAAACCAGGTCCTGTGCTTTCTACTGCCACATGATACCTGCAAACTTTTAAGTCACTTCTGCTCAGCTAGTTTTCAGTCTCCCTCTCAGACCTTCTCTTGAAATCCTTCGCGACCAGCGAGGTTTCTGCACGCTACGTGCCCGGCCCATGTTCGCTTCTTCTTTATTTTAACGACGTATTCTTAAACCCTATTTGTTCACTGACCCTTGTCTACTTGTCTACTTGTCTAGGAAGCGGAATCATTAGAGTGAAATGAATAGAGGAATACAGATGGAATTGAGCACATTCGGGAAGAATTCTCAACCACTATCCTTCAAGAGGAAGGTTTTTCTAACAGATGCATCTGACCTGTATGTGCCTACAGAGCAGTTGTGATATCTGACATCTTATAAGAACAAATGCCTGCTGTGCGGTGAACACCCAATGCTATATCACGCCACATGACCCAGTAAAAGGAGGTACCAAGGAAGGATACAATACCACCTGTGTAACTGGAGGCAGCACTTCCCTGCTCGAAGTATGAAAAACAGCTGAAGCTAATTAACAAAGCTTGTGAGACGAAAAGCCCCCAGATTGAGGGCTCCACATTCTCAGATACAATTTATTTTCTAGCATAACATCTTTAGGTATTTCAAAATACATTACTGATTTTTAGTGGTTAATTCATTCACGACTGATGCTTCAATGTTTCACAGTTTACTAGACAAGACCGTGCTTTACCACTCACGTATGTTTTTTTCACCAATCTGACCATATCCAATTGCCTTTTGACTGCCTGCAGTAGTGGCAATTCTGTATATACTGCACCGCTTGAGAACTTGCAACTTGTAACGTTACACAGTGTAACTTAGAAGAGTCCACGACAGCAAACGCTCGTGTTTATGTGTGGACATCGCTATTATCTGCAAATAGTTTTCTTTTTTCTGGAGCAGCTTGTTTCTTGTTAACGTATCCTGGCTGGCATGGTATTGAAAGAGCAAACCTTAGTTTGATATGTAAAACAGTTTGAGAAGGCCACACTTATGCACACCAGCCCGCTACGCTAATTCGAAAGGGTAGAAAAATACTCGTTTCCAAAGGCACCATTTCACCCCAAGAAAACATATATATCGAAAATGATTTTACTTGATATTATAGCCACCTTAACATGAAATGACGCAAACTTAGTATCCATAATTTCGAGGTATTAAAGTAGTAGGAAACAAATTATTTGCTGAAGCATATTCAGCAAGACTGCATAATTGTCTTAACATTACGGTCTTTCTTCAGCATGCACGAAAATGGTTCCCTTATTGAAAGTGTGTTAATGGCCCAGTCTTTCATGAGTATATAAATGACTTCTGAGGGGGATGTTGTTCGGCCAACACCACCCCTTTGTTAAGTGTGCCTTCATGAGACAAAAAACTGGGACGAAAGCTGGAGGTGACGTGAGGCCTTTGTTTTTTGTTCATCACCGACGGATACTAAACGGTAGCCTAAGCGGATAATTTTCTTTTTGTGCATACACAAATATTTACCACTCGTGCGAGGGCTTTACACGGCTGTGCATGCGTTCTCTTCCTTAAACTTGAGACAGTCCTGTATGTCGTCAGGCGTGTTCCGTGGCTTGTACTGCCCCATGGCGGAGGACAGTTCTTCGAAGGTGAGGTCACCGGTGTCTTTGAAGGTGTGCATGACGATTGACAGGATGTCCTCTCCACTGTAGCCCGATGTCTTGTCTGCCAACTCGATCCACTGATCATCAGTGATGGTGTTCGGAGATTTGCCGATGTGCTGCTTCAAAATGCGCATGCGCTCTTCGGGTCTGGGTAGCGGGATAAAAATGCGCTTCTGAAAGGCTGTGGCGAAAAATGAGTCGATCAGCTTCGGCGCATTAGTGGTGGCAACGCACAGCGTCACCTCGGCAGTCATGTTGTCGTTGATGAACTTGACTTCTTTGACGATGCTCTGACGTAGCTTCTGGTACCTACACACGAAAAGAAAAAATACGCATATTGTGAAGAGAGCGACTTTACGCCCGGAAAACTGCGCTGGATATTTCAATCTATTTGTTCAGGAAAAACCCTGTTCAAAAAAACTCTATACAACCGAACAATGAAACAGAAGCGACAAAAGCAGCTGAAATACAAAACAATACATTTTAATTTTATTAGCAATAAATGGAAGATGCTTGAACTTAGCATTCAAGAGTAGGTCATGAAAGCATAATGAGGCTTCGTGCTAATCAGCTTAAGTTCTCGGTGCACACCGATCAACCGTCCCGCAAGGAAACGAAATAATGTACACTTAACATTTGCCGTTTCAAATTACATTGAATGTCGACTGCCAGTACAAAACTCAGGCGTCCAATAAGCCATGAGAAGTAAATGCGAAGCGATCTTTTGTGTACTGCAGGCACGTTCGGCGTCCATCTACGCATCTATCCATAACCATCTATCTAGCGTCACGTGATTTATTCACGTACAAACATACAGGAAGGCAGAGCAACGTCAGCAGACTTAAGAACATCAGCAGGCCGAAATCTGAGCAAGTGTCACAGAACGAGCGCTCAAAAAGGGCGCGCCGCCAAATTCTCGCGACGAAACGCCGGAGTGATGCCGCGAGGTCAACAATAAAAAAGGAAAACAATCATCCAATGATTCTCCGGGCGCGCGACTCTCTCTCTCGGAAGCGTGGGTTCGCCGACGAACCTCCTCTCATTGGCGCCCAAGCAAGCAATAGAACTTTCTAGATGGAAAGGGGCGTGGTGATGCCGGGTTGCGTCATCTGTCGCGGACGACCTTCGAACCGTCTCGCCCTCTCCCCAGCCTTCGCTGCGTATCGCGCCGACGAAAGGATGAGAACTTTCTGGAATCTCGCGCGGAAGGTATTTAATCGAGCAGCCGAGATGAGAGATCAGGAGAAGACGGAAGTTAGCGCCAGAGCGCGTAGGGTACTCCACCGTGTAGTCCGCGAAGGTTTGGTCTGTGTGACAAAGCAGGAGAAGAAGAGGATGTCCACCTGAGGAGTGAAGACTCGAGCTACAGGCAACAGTGTGTATCTACCATATATCGAGCGAAGACGCGTGGCAACAGCAGCGAGTACGAAGCCGACGTGTTTCCGGCGAAGAAGTTTGAAGCTTGGAGAGCCGCCAAGTGAAGACGCGAGGTTTCCTGGAAGAGAAACTTCAGGGGCAGCGGAACGACGACAACGCTGGACTTTGAGTGAGTGATTCTCGGAAGAGTATCATCCAGACTTTTGTTCCAAGAACTTTGGACTAAATAGGTTTTCTATCTCTTTAGTCTTTAAGTGTCTTGGTTGTTCAATGCATGCGACTGCATTGTAGTGCGTATTGTTGTCTGTGTCCGTTGTTTCGAGTGTGGCTGATTGTACTGTGTAGTACGTTGTTTAATTGGTGACATATTGTACTCAACTATTGTGAAGTGTGCATACTTGTGTATTGTTTTTCATCTGCCATTATTGAGAATATAATTTTGTTTTGTTTATCAACTCTCGGCTCTGACTTGTTCTTTGGGCCACATCCGGCGTCCGCTGTCGCGCCAAAAAGGACCACTTCTAAATTGTCCACGCTTTCGTGGTGCGGTTCGGGGGGCCAATACTTAGGCCCTTGGAATTAGCCCGGCGATCGCCTCCCTAATTAACGGGACGTGTGACAGCAAGCACAAGCGCAGGTTGCGTGTTTATATCACCAACGCTGTGGCTTGCCATCCTGGCTGCATCGTGATCGTCTCGCATTACTCACTATATTGGCACCCGGGGAAGAGTGTAGTCATCCTGGCGACTTAAGGTGTAGTCAGTATAGTTGGGTCATAATAGGGCTTGAGGCTACTCACATATACCATTTCTCTACCACGACAACGTAAGTCATCAGACGGCGCCAAAAGCTAAATCTCATAATTCACTGTTGACGTACGGGCGAGAAAGTGGTAGGGTTCATGGTATACGGCCAGTAATTTTAACCAAAGATCAAGAGTGCTCAATGAAATCCAGAGCCAAACGTGGGACCCAGTCGTGGAAGACGTCGGTCGGTGTTTTGCCTAACTTTTTGGTGGCCTTGGTCTTTGATTGTCAGTGAACGGGTCAGTTGTTTGCATCCTTTGGCGCACCTGGCAACATCAGATACTGCTGTGTACTCAGATAGGTCAGGCCTGCTGGGGAGGATTGTTTCCAGCGTGCATGATGGTTCGCGTTCGTAAAAGAGATTGAGAGAGGGAAAATTTGTGGTTGCGTGTTGTCACAGAATGAGCGCTTAAAAAGGGCGCGCCGCCAGATTCTCGAGACGAACCGCCGAAGTGACGCCGTGAGGGCAACGAAAAAGAAAGAAAATAAAAACAAACATCTAAAGGCTCCCCGGGCGCGCGAGCTTCTCCTCTCGGAAGCGTGGCTTCGCCGACGAACCTCCTCACCTCACAACGGTGGCTGAGCAAGCACTGGAAATTTCTAGAAGGAAAGGGGCGTGTTATGCCGGATTGAGTCATCTGTCGGGGACGGCCCTCGTACAGTCTCGCGCCTTCCCCAGCCTCCGCTTCGCATCGCGCCGACGAAATGATGAGAACTTTCTGGAATGTCGCGCGGAAGGTATTTAACCGAGCAGCGGAGATGAGAGATCAGGAGAAGACGGAAGTTAGCGCCAGAGCGCGAAGCGATTCCGCCATGTAGTCGGCGAAGGTTTTGTCCGTAGTGACAAAGCAGGAGAAGAATATGATTTCCACCTGAGGGGTGACGACTCGAGCTACAGGCAAGAGTGTGTGTCTACCGCTATCGAACGAAGACGCGTGGCAACAGCTGCGTGTGTGAAGCCGACGTGTTTCCGGCGAAGAAGTTTGAAGCTTGGACAGAGGCCAACTGAAGACGCGAGGTTTCCTGGAAGAGAAACTTCAGGGGCAGCGGAACGGCAACAACGCTGGACTTTGAGTGAGTGATTCTCAGAAGAGTATCATTCAGACTTTTGTTCCAAGAACTTTAGACTGAATAGGTTTTCTATCTCTTTAGTCTTTAAGTGTCTTGGTTGTTCAATGCATGCGACTGCATTGTAGTGCGTATTGTTGTCTGTGTCCGTTGTTTCGAGTGTGGCTGATTGTACTGTGTAGTACGTTGTTTGATTAGTGACATATTGTACTCAACTATTGTGGAGTGTGCATTCTTGTGTATTGTTTTCGATCTGCCATTTTTTAGAATATAATTTTTGTTTTGTTTATCAACTCTCGGCTCTGACTTGTTCTTTGGGCCACAGCCGGCGTCCGCTGGCGCGCCAAAAAGGACCACTTCTAAATTGTCCACGCTTTCGTGGTGTGGTTCGGGGGCCGATACTTCGGCCCTTGGAATTAGCCCTGCGATTGCCTCCCTAATTTAACGGGACCTGTGTGACAATTAATCTGGCGTCCGCGACAAAGGACTTTTTGTTGCACAGTGTGTCCAAAGTAGTGAGAAGGAGCCTCGAGTTGTTGATAGTGCTATCGGAACGATTTTGTGTGTTGTGCAGTGTTCTCGTTAACGAGTGCAGGAGAGTAATCCGATAGACTGATTTAGGCAGATACTTTTCACACGCGGCAAGTCTTTATTTGCGAGACACCATGGATCTCGAAACGTTAGTTGCTCTTGGTGAGAAGATGGGTCTTTCTGGCGCCGAATTACGGAAATGGGTAAGGCAGAAGGAGAAAGAGGCGGTGGAACGAGAGAGGTTGGCAGCTGAGAGAGCCAAGGAAGAAAAAGCAGCTGAGTTGGAGCGAGAGAGGTTGGCAGCTGAAAGGACCAAGGAAGAAAAAGCAGCTCAGTTGGAACGACAGAGGTTGGCAGCTGAGGAGCCAAGGAAAAAAAAACAGCTGAGTTGGAACGAGAGAGGCTTGTAGCTGGAAGGGCGAAAGAAGAAAGAGAGGCAAAGGAGCGACAGCTGAAAGAAGAAAGAGAGCAGCAATTGAAGTTGGAGCTGGAGAGAGAGAAGTTGGCAGCCGAAAGGGCGAGAGAAGAAAGAGAAGTGGAGATGGCTGAACGGGAACGGCAGCGGCAGCACGAGATGGAACTCGAGCGGCTCTGTTTGCAACAGCGAAGCGAAACTCCGGTCCAAGCTAGAGTTGAAAGCAGCGAACGGGAGGACCATGGCTTCCGTTTGAACTCAAGCAAGCTGCTCGTAGCGTTTGATGAAAGGAAGGACGACCTTGACGCGTACCTTCACCGGTTTGAGACGATTGCGTGGAGTCAGACTTGGCCGGAACATCGAAGGGCAACTGCTTTGAGTACTTGCTTGAGTGGTGAAGCGCTCAGTGTGTACGGTAGGCTGACGCCGACCGATGCAGCCAACTATGCAAAGGTGAAAGCTGCTTTGCTGAAGCGATTTAGATTTACTGTGGAAGGATTCCGGGACAGATTTCGGACAGGAAAGCCAGCGGATGGTGAGACGGCTACGCAGTTCGCCGCCCGACTTAGCCATTATTTAGACAGATGGATTGAACTTTCAGGGACAGTGCAGGAGTACGATGATCTTAGAGAGCTCCTAATTAAAGAACAATTTCTTACTTGTTGCCACCCAAGCCTGTCGCTGTACTTGAAAGAGAGGAAGGCTGAGTCACTTGAAGGAATGCTTGAATTGGCTGATCAATTCTTGGAAGCGCAAGGTGGAACTAATTTGGCCAAGGTCAAGAAGGAGTGTCCCGAAGATTCGAAGAATTCGGCATCCGAACAAAAGAAGCGTGCACCGAAGAGTGTTCCGCGATGTTTTCTGTGTAACCGAGTGGGTCATCGCGCGAGCAACTGTCGTACTAACTTTACGAGCCCTACGGTAGTAAAATGTTTCAAGTGTGGTCAGACTGGGCACAAAGCAGACGCTTGTCGTAACGGAGTGAGTCAAACTCACCAGGTATCCTGTGTGCAAGCGGCACCGAAATCCGGTAATAATGCCGTCACCGATGGATTCGTAGAATTGCAAAATGGGGAGAAAATTCCTATTGTGGGTGCTGTAATGTCAAAACA